AAAGAAATTGATCAGTCCAAGCAAATTTTTCAATATCCCTAAACTCTACAAATTTTAGAGTTCAATCAATGATTGAGATGGAGAAGTGGTGTCTCAAGGAAACTGGAAACCAGTCAGATTTTATTACATATTTCAAAATACTCCACAAAGCTATCATGCAGCCTATAGACCACAGAACAATGGAAGAGGATTTTCTTTTCTTTACAAAAGGATTCTCTTCCAAGTGCAGGCGGTTGACTCAGTAACATGTATTTACTATGCTCTTGTAGACTGATATTTGTTGCACATTTTTATACATCCAACAAGCTTGAAGAATGATTTCTTTATTACAGCATACAACTACTTATATGAAATATGTGAGCTTCCATAAAATGCTTCAGCAGCCAGGACATTCATTACAAACAGAAATACAGAATGAGTCTTACTAAAGCAAGAACCTATATTTCGCTGTAAATAGCATCTTCATCACCAGGGAACAATCACAAACGCTGGCAGGACACAGAAATATAGTTCTATTTGATACAAATTTACTTGTGGAAAACTAAATGAACAAGGTTCTTATTCTGCAGAGTTCAAAGATGCATTAAAGTCTTATTAATGTTGAAGTACAAGGACATGGAAAGAAGATAGGGAATTTCTTTCAGACCCTTCAGTTTTATTATCTGCCTATCAAGTGTCAATCTATTGGAGCACAAACTTCGTTCCATCGATAGTTGTAGCTCTTGTGATCTGTTGCTTCATATTTATGCATACTTGGGTTAACAGTGTACATCAGGTGGCCCAGGGCAGATACCAGCCATTTGCAAGCAGAAGACACAAAGTTTTCAATCCTGTGGCTGATATAAGGAGTGCTACACTGAAGTGAAATGCTTGTAAATAATTTGTTTTCCTTTAGTGACTGGATATAAATAAGAAACTAGACTCCAATGAACAACATTGGGGTCCTTTTAATTCTGCTTAGGTCTGATGTATCACTTCTCTTAATGGCTGAAAGAGAGTTTCCTTGTTTCCTGTGAAACCCTCTATAATAATGAAGTTTTTCTTCAGAGAGTTACAGAAGTATTTACCAAAAAAACGACAAAAGCTTAAATCATTAGAAACACACGTTCAAAAAGTTGTATCATTTGTATATGTAACTATCTCAATTTGTGGCCTGTTCTGCATTGATCTCTAGAACTCAAGATACTTTCCCAGAAGCAGGAGGGAGGATTTTTTCAGAGAAGTGATGTATCAGATAGCTAACAAAACAGAGTTCAGAAGATCACAAGACACACTCTTACCCCAGTCAGCGAGCCTCGTACCTGTAAGAGGTGGACATCTGGAGGGCAGCAAAACTTCAGGACAAAGCTGGGGCTAGGGAGCACCTGCAAAAACAGTGTACCCTGGGAGATCAAAAGAAGAGTGGGTACATTAGCAAAAGTGGAAAAAAATCTGTATAGGACACGATTGATAGAGTTTTACTTCATAACAAAACAGATGCAATCTTTGTTCAAAATATCACGCATCAGTGCTGCAGTTCAGAATTAGTGACATTTCTATCCATCCACAGGAAATCCCATCCAAACAATCTATACTGGCTCAAAATAATATTACATTACACTTCTAATTTTGGGGGAAATGCAGGCAAGCATCTTCACATTTTCTTCTGTATTGCCCCAGTGAACAAACTTAATAAGTGAGAACATATATATTGCTAAGCCCCCACCTTATGCTACCAAATACCCTCCTCTGTTTCCCTCACAGGCCAGAATACATACAGAAAATTGCTATTTTGCACCCACTAAGTGGCAGCTTGTGGTAAATTTACTTAGCACTTATGTATTAACACTTTGGACCTGATAACAGCCGTGGAAGGCCCCATGCACCTCAACAGGCTTCAGGTTCACAGCTGAACTAGGGTACAATTTTTACTGCCAACTGCCATGTCATCTTTCCCCTTCCAAACTCCTTTTCATTAGTCATAAGTGCAAGATACAACACAGACGACCATAATAATCTGCATAGCACCTCAAATGAAAACCAGGCTGAAGCCTGAACTCTGTCATGGTAGTAATATAAATAATATTTATTCAGTGCTCCAATTAGCTAACTGCATTTTTAAATAGCAGCAAAACAAGGACAACTTATCAATTCATCAAACTTATGTTTAATGCATAGCTGAATGTACCATGAAGCAAGACAAACACACTCATAATGAACACACAGATTAATGAACCGAAGAACTCACATAACCTTTCTCGGCCGAAAGATTTCCTACTCAACAAGCTATCTGAATGATGTAAGTGTACCTTTTATTAAGTAAAACATTATTCAACATGTCTAGAAGTAGTAAGATCTGGTCCCCAAGTAGAATATTTATTCATGCATGCATTTATGTTAATAAAAATGTTAAGTTCTCACCTAGACTTTGGGCATCCATTACATAAATTTAAGAACTCCTGTAGTTATAAGATACAATATAATAAAGAGAACTCTTCTCAAATTTCTTCTGCCTTAGCCATCACCCATATAAAAGAAAAGTAGAATTATATGGTAAACTCTTAACATAACTGATACTTCCAGGAAGAATTAGTTATAAACAAATGTGTAACACAGGCAAGGAACAATTTAAACAATAAAACCATTTATTTGAAAAGCATTGCAGTATTTTAAAAACTACAAAATTCTACTTGATAACTGCCAGGGATACTTACCATACTGACAAAAACAGAAATCTAAACAAACCAGTTGCACATCAGAGTAACCGTTAGTGAACTCACCCAGCTTTTTAGCATGTAACCAACACCCAGAATTCAGAAGTTTCTGCAAATTTTACTCCAAATACCAGTAGTAGGATAATGAAGTCCTAGTCATTGACCAGACAGCCATTGAGAAATTTGCAGCAAGGCAGCCTTTGTTCCGTAGGCCTGATTTCTGATTAATTAAGTTGTTGACAATTTTGTGAGAACATGATGAAGAGCTCAAGCAGCAGTTCCTACTGCAATAGGAGCACCACCCTTTTCCTCAAGAGAAGACACCTTGAAAAGCTGTTGTGATTAAGAGAGAGTTACACTGGAGACAAATGTTTACGCCTCATGTGGAACTAAAACCTTACAACCTCTATATTGTTTTGGTTACTCCTTGATGCACAGAGAAACCCCTCACAACATCCATCCTCAGGAGATGATCACAGGAGGTCCTGAGTGGGCATCACACACACCCCTAGATTCCACTGTCTCTGCTTGAGACCTTCCATCATAAATACATAATCCCCACTCTTCTACTCCTATGACCAGCAGTTGAACCACTTATTGTCTCACAGATGCCTATGGGCTGAAGGAAAAGTTTGATTTCTCTTTGTATTATGCAGGTTGCTTTTCATAGCTTAGAATAGATCCGCAAGTAAATAGGCAAGGCTTAAAAGGGGGAAATGCAAACAGAGTGCAGCTGTCTTCCTAATAACCTCCAATAAAGTCTTCTACTGGGATGTTCTCCAACCTACAAATTCTTTCTGCGTAGAATGTAATTAAAAAGAGAAGGCTCATAACTGTCCAAACATTTTCTTTATAGACCATGTCCAGAAAATGTTGCAGCATTCCCAGAGGAGCAAATAGAAAGACTTTGATGGAGAGACATTCACTGAGAGCAGACATTCTGAATTGGATGTTTGCCTTCTGGAAATTTCTTCTGTTTCATAGACATTGTGATGTGGTAAACCTTATCAAAAGTGGTGTTCTCAGCAAGGAATTATTTGAATAAGTTTTTATGTCAGCAGTTTTCCATTATAGCATACTAACTAGCAACAGCAATGGCTGAACAATACACAACGCTTGGAATATAGTCATGAATAATACCTGAGCCTCCCAGCACCTTAATTCTCTCTCTTCCAGTAATGTGTGTATGCAGAAAGAATCCCTCCAATATCCTTTAAAGCTAATTTACAGAACTGTATCTTTTAGTACTGGTAATGATAAACTCTCAAATTACGAATGTGTTCCTGCTCCTTTATAACTTTCTGGTAACCTAATCAACTTCTTTAAAGAGACCCACAGCAAGCTCTCCTGCTGTTCCACCAGAAGGTCTGCTAATTTTCAACAGGTAATGACCAGCACAAGCAGGACAAAACTAGGGCTGGGGTTTCAGCCAAACATCTGTTGCAAAAGCATTAGAACCATGTTCAATAAAATACTTTGTGCATTTGTGTCAATTTCACCACATTAGTCAGTTTTGAGGAAAAAAAATTCAAAGCAGTAATTGATTAAAATTTTTTCTGAATTTCACTTCAATATTACTTTTAAAATGTAACATTTCAAAAGGCAGAAATATTTTTTTCCTTCTTCTCCCAAGCTTTTGGAACTTCCAGGATGTCAAAAATATGTCAGTTATTCACACTGTTCAAGACACCCATTGTACCGTTCAGAAAAGCATACATGACTTGTGAACACCTTGCATACATAAACTGTAATGAACTAACAAACTCAGAATTCCTATCTAGTCAAATACCTCCAAAACACACATTAAAAACCAAATAAACAAAAACAAACCTTCAAAGAGG